AATAATTAAATCACAAATACTGCAGGCAGCAAGAGAGAAAACACTACCGTACAAAAGTAAAGAAATGGTGGTACTGAAACAGTTACTGAGAAGAGTGAGAGAGATAAGAAGAGAATCTTTATTTTTGACTAAAGAGTTACTTAAGAGCGGAATAAATTACAGATGGCTGATACCAGAAGGCCTATGTTTAACTGGCAGGAACAAAGAGACAGAAATGATATAGTTGAAAAAGCTGAGTTATTCTATCTGTAATACTTCAGAGGAAAGGAGGAAGATACAAGAAAAGAATAGTCGTTAATTGAATTCCAAGAGGAATGTATAGCAGTAATTAAAAAAGAAGGGGCCATAGGTGGTGTACCCAGAGAGCAATGAGAACCAAGATCTACTAGAGCAACAAATCCTTCTTATAAAGTCTAAAATGGATGAGAGAAAACCAATTACAATTAATATAAATGGACTTAATTCAGCTACTAAAAGAAAGAAAATATTTCATAAGATGGGAAATTAAAATTTGATATAATCTGCCCACAAGAAGTACATATTAAAAAAACAACATGACCATATATTGAAACAACAAAAATTAGGGAAATTATTTACAGCGTTGACACAGTGTAAAAAGAGAGGAGTGGTGTTATACATTAGAAACACAATCCCTGAGAAACAAATATATACAGATGATGATGGAAGGATTTTATGGTGGAGATAACGGACAATAATCTAAAGATACTTCGAATAACAATGTATGCTCCAAATGATAATCAAGAAGATTTTTACAGGAAATTGCATAAGAAAATAATTGTACTGGACTATGATAATATTTGTCTGATGGGAGATTTAATGGAATAATAAATGACAAATTGGATTATAAAACACAAAAACAGCAAAGAAAGGTAGAAAGACATTGCCAAAATCCTTCTTTCGAATGGTAGATGAGATAAACCTAAAAGATGCATGGAGAAAGAGAAATGCGGAAAATAAACAATATACTTTTTATTCAAACAGACATGCATCATGGTCCAGAATAGATATGATATGGATGTCAACAGAATTGATCTCTAACACACAAGACATAGAAATAAAAGCAAGTACCTGGGCACATCACAATCCAATAACACTTGTATGGACTTTAAATAATACGATATTAAAGGAAAAAAACTTTAAACAGAAAATTGAGAGAGAATTGACTTTTTTCTTTAAAGAAAATTCAAAAGAGGATACATTATTACAGAACCTCTGGGACACAATGAAGTCTTATACAAGAGGCTTGATAATGGACTATACAAGGAAAAGAAATATAAAACAGAAAAAAATCTTTAAAATATTGGAAGATGATGACAAGAGGTTGGAAAAAGAACTACAGAAATTTCCACAAAAAAAGAACATTAAAATTAAAATGGACATAACTAAACATAAAATGGGGCTAATGGAAACATTAAAACATTAAAAATTCTAAGCAGAATTATTTTGAAGATGCAAATAAACTAAGCAGATGGCTAGCATATAAATTGAGAAAGGAAAGAGATTCGAGAAGGATACATTAATTGATAAATGAACAAGGACATATATGCTATGGAAATGTGGAGAAGAAAAAAATTATTCAAGATTATTATGGAAAATTGTACCATCAAGAGAATGTTCAGGAAGAAAGAATTCAACAATATCCACAGGAAGCAAATCTGCCACAGATACCCAAAGATATTGACATAATGTTAGAAAGTACCATAACGATGATGGAATTAATAGAAGCTTTAAAGAAGCATAATATTGGGAAAACACCAGGTTTGGATGGTTTGCCAGTGGAATTTTGTAAGGCGTTTCAGGAAACATTGAATCTTCACTTATTAGAAGTTATGAATAAAGTTATGACAAGCAAGAGAATACCCAAAACATGGTCAAAAGCATATATTACACTTGTACTGAAGGAGGACACAGACCCACAGCAAGTTAAAAATTACAGACCTATATCCCTATTAAACTCAGATGATAAAATTTTTGCTTCAATTCTGGCAGAAAGATACTTAAATAATTTTATTCATTCTGATCAAAATGGATTTCTGCTGAAGAGACAAATTAAAGACAATATGAGAATAATTTTAGACACACTGGAATACTTTGAGGCACATCCCGAAAAGCAAATGGCTTTGATGTTTTTAGATGCACAAAAACCTTTTGAAAATGTGAATTGGCATTTTATGCTGCTACAATTGGACCAAATGGGTTTTGGTAAAAAAATTTACTCAAGCCTTAGAAACTATATATTGTAAACAAACTGCAAAGGTTATGATAAAGAGAGAGTTAACAGACTTTATAGATATAAGAAAAGGGACTAGACAAGGCTGTCCACTGTCACCTCTGTTGTTTGTGTTAAAACTGGAAGGGCTGCATAGGAACATCAGAGAAGAAAAAGAAATAAAAGGAATGAAAATTTAAAAAGAAGAGTATACATTGCAGGCTTTTGCCGATGATCTGGAATTCATATTAGAGGATCCATTGGAGTCAGCACCTAAACTGACAGAAAAGATAAAAGAGTGTGGGAAAGTAGCAGGTTTGAAAATAAAGATAAAAAAAGTTTTTAAGAAAGAACATGTTAGCAAGACAGAACAAAGAATTGGAGGAAGTTTTGAGGACCCAGGTCACAAATAAGGTTAAGTATTTAGGGATACACATAACACCAAGATGTAGCAACTTAAGAAGGACAATGATCTTAAACTCAAACAACACATTGCGACAGACCTGATAAAATGGGAAAATTTACAGTTATCATTGATTGGCAGCATATCTACAATTAAGATGAATGTATTGCCTAGAATCTTATATTTATTCCAGACAATTCCAATCAGACTAGGAAAAGAATTTTTTGAAGATCAAAACAAAATAGTGCTAAAATATATTTGGCAGTGGAAGAAAGCGAGAATAAAACTTAAACTGTTACAAGATGCAAGAATAAGAGGAGGATTTGCTTTGCCCATTTGGGAATTATATTACCAGGCGACGAGTTTGATGTGGGTAAAGGACTGGATATCACTAAGGAATACTAGATTTTGAATTTAGAAGGACATGACTTGCTGCTATGGTGGCATGCCTTCCACTGGTATAAGGGAACTAAAACCCAGGGGTATTTCAGAAGACATTATATTCGAGAAGCATTGTTTTTAAACTGGGAGAAGATAAAAAAGCAATATTATTTAAAAAATCCACTATGATTATCTACTATTGAAGCTTTTTCCTATCCAATAATATATAAAAAGGAACAAACAGTTAGATATGGTGAGATATTGAATGAAAATGGTGAACTTAAATCTATGCAAACATTGGAAGAACAAGGTGTAAAAATGAATTGGTTTTCATATTTGCATATACAATCTAGATTTGATAAAGATGTTAAAACAGGAGGTATCTATGATAAGTTGATTGATTTAGATAAAATTTTGACAGATACTGATGAAAAAGTAATTAAAAATCTTTACAGACATTTGTTGGAGTTTAAATTAGAGGAAGAACAAGTAAAAGAAACAATGATTGCATAGGGGAAAATTTTGGATATGGGATTGACTTAGATAAATGGCAAAAATTGTGGTCTCAAAATTATAAAATGACAACGTCAACTACATATAAAAAAAATTGTATAAGATGTTTTACAGGTTACATTTAACCCCGATGAGAATTTTGAGAATGTTGAAGAATAAATCGGATAAATGTTGGAAATGTCATCAGATACCTGGATTATATGACCACACGAAGTGGACATGCTTGGATGAAAAAAGTTATTGGACTATAATCCAAACATGGTTGAAAAAATGACAAAACAACACATAGACTTTACACCTGAGATATTTTTATTGGGAATTATACCGGAAATATATTGTAAAGAATTGAAATATTTGATTATAAATGTTTTAACAGTGGCTAGAATAGTATTTGCTAAGAACTGGAAAAATGAAAAAATACCTATGCAGGAGGAAATTATTAAGAAAATCATGGACTGTGCCAAAATGAGTAAACTGACATTTGAAATTAGAGAACAAGATGATAAACAATTTTATATGATATGGGATTTATTTTATCAATGGTTAGATAAAAAGACATGGTAAAGAAATAGATTTAGGAAGCTCAACAATAAAAGTTAATAGATTGATATAGAACATAATATAAAATATATCACCATTGTATGAATGTATAAGATTAAATCATAATGAAATTTAGAATATCTCATATACAATGATGGAAAAATAGTTCAGTCAAATGAATGATTAATAATTGATAGTACATAAACACATGTTAGATTGACAAGGTGAGAATTTATACAACTTGCGAGTAATGGTAAAAAAAGGATAGCACAAAAGATTGTGACCAACTAACACACTGTATGTATATAATTGAAATATTTTTTTTCTATCTTTTACATTTCAAAGAAGACCAAACAATCAAAAATGGATACCCTATGAGAATGGGCTAAATACATGTCTACAAAATACCCATTAGCTTTTTCCCATATTTATACAGTGGTTTAAGAAATGAAGCTATTAAAAACATGAACTGGAAGCTGCAAACTTTTAGGCATCCTTAAAGTAAACATGACAAATCTTCTAAGAGCTAGATGCTCAAACTCTTGTTTGCTCGATGTATGCAGAGGAAAAAACGGCTAGGTTAACTAAACTTGTAGAATGTCTGAAATGTAGCAAATGAGCACTTCGTTTGGAATAGGAAATAATGAATTTAAATAATAATCCCAATATTTCATAAAATCTTGTTTGATAGAAATAAGGATGTCTAAAATAAAAATAATGATTATATTATGTAATAATATTAAATATAATAATAGCAGATACTCTACTCTTTTTTGTTAATCATTTCCCATGGCCAGAAAGAACACATGATGTGCTAATTCCTCTTTATGAGTTGCTCCCTATGGTTGAGGTCAGGTCTCAAAACAACAATGTAGCACTTTGGCAGGAATATGCATCCCAGTAATGCAGCACTGGAGGACAAGATGGAGAAGACCTCCACGGCTACCATGGCTTTTCCTTTTGTGCTCAAGTAGGCTGGAAAGAAGGAGATCCACACACTGCAAAAGGCCAACATGCTGAAGGTGATGAACTTGGCTTCATTAAAGCTGTCAGGTAAATTACGGGCAAGGAAAGCCACAATAAAGCTGGCGATGGCCAAGATACCCATGTAGCCCAAGACACAGTAGAAGAAAAAAGCTGACCCCTCATTGCACTGTAAAACTATTTCTTGGTGCTCTGACTGCATGTCCATCTCAGGGAATGGGGAAAATGTTGACAACCAAAGAATACAAAGACATACTTGTAGGAGAGAGAATGATAGGACAATAGAAACAGCCAATCTTTTCCCCACCCATTTCCTCATCTGAGATCCTGGTTTAGTGGCCATGAAAGCCACAACCACAGTGATGGTTTTGGCCAGAACACTAGAAATGGCCACTGAGAAGGTGATTACAAAAGTAGGTTGCCGGAGAAGGCAGATCACTTTTCCAGGTGGGCTGAGGAACAACAAAGAGGAGATAAAGCAGAGCTGAAGAGATACAAGTAGTGTGTAAGTGAGGGACCGGTTGTTGGCTTTGACAATAGGAGTATCCCTGTGCTTAATAAAAGTTCCAAGTACACAAGTTGTCAAGAAGAAGAAACAAAAAGCTGCTGAGGCTAAACCAATTCCTAAGTTTTCTTCAAAGGTTAAAAATAGCACTGGTTTCAGGATACATCCTTTCTTTTCTTTATTTGGATAATGATCTTCGGAACATTGAAAACAGTCATCCATATCTAAAAGAAAAGTCAAGGCATGTTTTTATATATTCCATATTTTTGAAAATAATATTCTTTATGAGTGCCAAACATTATCCCTCTCACGTTTTTCTATTGGTTACCATATTTGATCATGTTTTTAGGGAAGGGCAGTTTTCCATCATTTTATCAGCTGGGACCACCATTAAAGAAGCATGATCAGAAGGGCAATTATTCTATGAAATACAGTTCTCTCTGGTAGTTTCAAATTTATTAAAATTTAGACCATTTGACTTTTCCCATTTTTCCAAAAAATGGAGAGGAAATACATAAAGGTGTATATAAGAGCTTAGCTCTTATGGAAAAACTTGAATTCAGAATGATAGATTGTTATTCACAGGTATAGAAATGAATATTCACCTTGAAGAACTCACAATACTATTTGCTATGTTAAAGTAGTATATTACAATTTGTTTAGGTGTATCTAATGAGAACTTGCTGGAATGTCTAACCTACCCTTTTCATCTGAAATCTTCCCTTCTGGACATGGAACACAGTCATAGCAGCAGAATTGTTTTCCTTCAGCCTCCTTCTTCCAATATCCAGGGGAGCAATGGTCATTACACAGAGAAATTGGAAGAACCTGATGATAAATATAAAAGATTTTTGCAAAGGGAGATTTAAAAAATCAATTAATCTAGCAGAATCCAATCTGGGACAGTCACTTGCACCAAAGGTTGATCGGTGACTGACTCAGAGTAGATTGTTCAACATTATCCTGGGATCCCTCCATTCATGAGTTATTAATTGTTCTCTTTTATTGGGGAATTGATCCTTTACTTCCTAGAGGAATACTGTATATCACCTAGCTGGATTTATATTATACATTAAAAGTTGTTGAAATTAGAATGATGATGAAAAGGGCCTCTTTGAAAAAGGCAAGGCGAGAAAATAAATATTCATGGAAATGTTATGGAAATGATGCAGTGCCATGATTTGAAAGGCACTTGCAATCAAGTATGAAAACCAGACTTTTATATTGCAACATCATTTTGTCAGTTTCATGAGTGCTTAATCTTGGGCTACATTTGTTCAAAGTATGCCATTTTTTCTTATAAACATAAAAATTAGATTTCTAAAGAAGCTTTGCTCAGTATAATTTAAGAAATCAAGGCCTCTAGCTAGAATCATAATGGCTCAAGATACAGTCCACAAATGAGTCCATACCTGATTAAATGCTGGATGCCAGACAATCAAATCTTCATCAATGAATAATTCTTTTCCTGTTGGAGAACTCGGATCAATTATTCCGACTCTAACTCTTTGAAAAGACCGATTGGGGAATGTGATGAGGTTGATGATATCAAATCCACCCATTACTTCCCCTTTTTCATTCAGGGAAACTTTCTCTCCAGCCGAATTGTTAAAAGAAATGCCATGTAGAAATGGATGGAGCTATGTAAAAGAGAACAAAGAGAGAGAGAGAAAGAGAAAGAGTTCAAAGGATAATACAGGTAGTCCTCTATTTACAACAGTTCTTTTAGTGGCCATTCAAAGTTATTATGAAATGAAAAAAATGACTGTTTTTCACATTTATGACCTTTGCCATCTTCTGACAAGCAAAGTCAATGGGGAAGCCAGATTCCCTTAACAACTGTGTTATTTAACAATATAGGAGTTTCTTAATCTTCACACCTAACTGGATTTTATAAGCAGAAAATATTAAGACTTCCCACCATAGGTTAAAACGGTAATTCTAGGTCAAATTTCTCATTGAAATAAAAGAATTTTCCAATGCAGAGAGAATACCTGCCAAGGCTGCAGATATGGAAGGTCAGATTTTCTACCCATCATTGTTTTTTTCTTATTGAACCCCGATGTGAGTAATGCTTGCAAAGCATGAACCACAGTATAAATAGCATTGTAGACACTGTAGCTTTGGCCAGTCATTTCCATTTCAAACACAGGTGCAGGAAGATCCTCCAGTTTGTTCTCTTCCTGGCACTGCCAATTGGACGTTTCTTGTAATTCTGATTTTGAGAGTGAACAATCAAATAATTGTTCCCAAACATCTTGCAGAAAGCCATCTTTGTAGCCTGAATGAGGGTTGATGGTCTGAACAAACTCCTTGAAACCTACAACTGCTCTTGAATGAACACTGAAGGAAATAGCCCCATGGAACATCTGGAGATCCCAACTGATTTGAAAGCCTGAGAGCACAAAATCAATCTGTGCAGTCATGATCCACACATTTCTCAATAATGCAGTTTGCTTGTTTTCAGGATCTGCTACAAACATGATAGCTCTGAGCCCTGTAATTGTCAACGATTCTCCATAGACAAGAAATGTGGTGGTATTGCTATTCCTCATATTAGTGAAAATACTTGAGAATATGTGATAAAGTTCTGTATATTGTTCTATGTGGATTAGTTGTGAAAGCCTTTGTATAAATGATGAACAGATTCCATTTTGTGAAAGCATGGGCTGCATTTTCTGTAAAAAACGTTCTCCATTATTGTTATCTGTAGTAAATATCCCAATCCATGTCCATCTAAAATGATGAAGCAGTTGAATAATCCCAATATATTGATGGTCCTCTTTTGGGACCATGAAATGAAGTGAAGATTGCTTCTTGGTCTGAAACTCCTCTTGGTCTATTGAGCCATATGTCAGCTAAAAGAAAGCAGAGTAATATTTTGTTCAGTTGTTCACTCAGACCTGATCTTTCTGGGTCGAGTTTTCCTGTAAACAATAGCCAAGGAAGGATTTTTTCCGCTCTATTTTGTTTAAAATATTAATATAGTATGGAATTTCTATGAACTATTACAAACACATTACAACAGTTCATTTGGTTGAACAGGAGCAGGGTGTGCTACATTTAAATCTTCCCTCTGATATGGAATAATTCTAGATAATTACTTGTACGATTGGCACTGTAGCTTTAGAAATGATGATTAAGGTGTCTAGAATATCTTAATACAAATCTAAGCCTAATACCTGATTCTCAGTAATTACATCATAACAACAAGGTATAGAATTTTTCTGCTCATCTCCTCCATACTGACCTGTGGAACCTTGTAGAAACCTGCAACTTCAGCTATATTAGATGATGTATCAGAACCTAAGCCTCCAATGATGGCCATGAGATTCTTCTGGCTATCACATCTGTAGTTAGGGACAAATTCCTGGGATTTGAAAAGCAGGTCCAGGGTGGTGCGATAGGTCATCCTTGAATTGTAGTAACTGTCATAGATGTGGAACCCGAGAGTGATGTTAGGTAAGATCTGGGTGTCTTCGTTGATCTTCTTTACAGCAAAGGCCAAGGCAAGGATGTGTTGGTAGAATTTGGTTATTACACTAAAAATAGATGGAGCACACGTTTTCAAAATAATAATAATTTTGCAAATTGTTTTAGGAGGGTCAGTATATAACTGACTACTGAAAAACCTGTTTCTGATTGAAGTATTGATTAATTGTATAATCAGGCTAAATATACTTATTTTGTAATCAGGCCAAATATGCTTTGCACACAATTTATTTCTTTTTATTTTTTTCCAGAAAGTTAATAATTACAAGACATACTGTGTTCATTTCTGAAATTTTAACCTCAGTGTTCAGTGTTCAACTAGAAAGCTGTGGCTTGTTGTTTTCTCTGTTGATTTAGCTTTTTTAGGAACTATAAATTAAGGGTGAGGTTCTCTCTAAACCTATACATCTTGCTCATGTGAATTGTTTAAGTTCTTAAAGGATATTCCATGAATGCTCATAATTCTTAGTTCCACCAAAGTCAAGTGGCCACTTTGGCTGCAAAAATAGAAATATTAAAACACCTTTAGTCTATCTTACCATTACTTTCCTGTTTAATAAAACAGAATGTCAATAGATTTAATTGTTTCCATATTTATGTCTGTAGATTCTCAGTCATCCTGGTTATGGTTGTCCCAAAGATATTTTCCAAAAGGCAATTGAAGTTTCTTAATTTTTTATTTGAAACATTTCACTTCTCATCCAAGAAACCTCCAGATTTGAACCAGAATTGAGATAGAAGAAGAAGTTTTGTGGATGAGAAATGAACCGTTTCAAAAAAAAAACCCCAAGAACCTTCAATTTTTTGTGGGGGGAAAAAGCACCTTTATTTCTGTGTTGTGAAATGTGGCAGAGCTGCTTTTTTTTGCATTCTTCTTTTTGATAATTTCCATGCAATGAAATATGCTTTACTTACAAGAATGTTAATGAAACAAACACAAAGATAGGTCCCTCTTCTCTCACCACTAGAAAACTTTCGAAACACAAAGAATTCTTACATTTACATGAAATACTCTACATTTTTTCTACAACAGTCATATAAACAATTCTTTGATATGCATGCATGGTCAGATGATTCAAAGGAAAATTTTTACATTGGTGAATCATAAAGGTTGAGAAAAGGATGTTGCTTGAATGGAGTTTGACAGAAATGGTAAATCAAGTGAGACATCATCCCACCGATGATGAGGTCCCCAGGTTGAAACCACTCATGTGGAACAGGGAAGGCATCACTTGCAGGAAAGCTCAAAGGAACTGCTTTGTGCATCTGGAATACCAGGAGGATCGATTTTATGGTTCTCTGTGTATGGAAAAAGTGTCTGAGTCTATCTTCAAGGAGAACCTCTGGCAAATAAAACAGAAGGAAGAGAACTTTTTGGAAATGAATCTCACAGAGTCAGCATTACCACGTCCTTCCTCCGTGTGGCTCTTGAAGTATTCATATGGATTGTTTCTCAATTTCTATTCCCTTCTGTGCAGAACATTTGATATTTTGGTCTGCTAAAATAATAGAATGACTGTAGTCATTTATAAGGGACGTAATTGGCATGGAAACACTAACCACCTGGTAATGTTTTCTTAACATGTGTGATGAACAACTTTCTTTCTTTAGAGTGACATAATAAGTGACTGGTGCTTAATCTATTTTGAAAATAGTGGAGAAATAAAATTGGGAAGTTTGAAGTTAAAACATTGCACTAATTCTAGAAATCAGGAATGTTTGATGAAATGGTCAGATGTCAACTATCTGTTACAGATTAGCTGGTCTTGATTTCAAAATCCTTTGGAAACTAGATAAAACTTCCAGTTCCAAATCGTGCTTGCCATGGTGTTTCCTGTGACATTACAGAAGCCAAACTGTTATTTTAAAGAGTATTGATGCTTTTAAACTTTGCTCTTAGGGAAGACTCCTGATAATTCTTTGGTGGCCAAGAAAACAAAGTTTGCAGAACTATCTTCTCCCCGCCCCGCCACCTCAGCTGCTGTCCCTGCTAGTCCATGGAACCAGAAAAGTTGTGGACTGCTGATCTATGGAGTTCCTTTGTTGAAAACATTTTGATGGCACATAATCAATCAATCAAATCATTGAAATGTTAGGAATTGACTTCTGCAGAAAGTTGTGATGACATGGACAACTGTTGGCATTCTATTCTATTATTAATCTCTTGTTCCTTTCATCCTTGATTATAAATTTAGAACTAAAATCCAATAGTATTGAACCATACACATCTCCCTAAATATTTATTTGTACTGTTTTATGTCTAAGCTAAGCCTAAATCAAATATATATAAAAAACCCAAAAGAGCCTGGCAAAGAGTAGTGTTTCCTTTTTTGAATTAGAAGACAGACCATGCAGCCACAGAACACATTACAGCTTGCTTTGAGTTTTTATTTCTTTGAAGATTTTGAAAGATTTGTAGATACATAATCCTATCCACTTCTGCATTTACAGTTTCCGATTCAGAACATACTTGCATAAATGTTCAAAGCCCATAGGAAGAATCAAGACTTCAGTTCCTTGTACAGTGTTTTCAGGAGTGGAGTTATACTTAATCTGTTTCCCTGAAAATACGACCTACCCTAAAAGTAAGTCCTAGCTTGATTTTTACTGTGCATTCAATATAAGCCCTAATTCAGATCTCGCCAACTCCAGAGTGCACAGATAAAATTTAAGCTAGAGTGGGTCTGGGGGGCTGGAGCTTCCCTACTACTTATCTTTGGACAGTTATAGCCTGGCCTCACACATCCTGACACCTGCCTTTCCAGCCCATTTCTTCTGCAGCCAGCAAGGCTGGCAAGGCTTTCCTGAAGGCCTCTGGAGCTCATACCAAAGCTCAGGATCTATCTGGAGCTCTGTAATTGGCTGCAGAGGCCTTCAGGAAAGCCTTGCTGGCCACAGAAGTTCCTGAATGTCTCTGACAGTGAAAAGGAGGCCAGAGTTAACATAAGCTAATGAGATTAGTCAGTGGATGACATCCCTCAAAAATAAGACTTTGTGCCTTTTTTGGTGACAAAAAAAAAACAGGGTCTTATTTTTGGGGAAACATGGTAGTTTTGATTATATGCTACCAACCTAATATTTATTTTGGGTTAATTTAATCCCTGATCAAGGCTGCAGAACAATGGAAAAGAGAGCCATTTGTTATGATCAGGATCCAATTTTTTATTAGATCCATTCATATACAAAGTCCATTTGTACCTAATAAAAATACAGTTACTTTGGATGAAAGTTATAATCCTTAACTGCATCTCAAATACAAGTTACATCCTTTCTGTTGATTTAAGGATTCATTGTAACCTACAATCTGAACAGGGGTGCCTAAATCTTTTGACATCAAATGACATAAACCCATTTATCTGAAATGGTATAGAGGGTTTCCTCTTTGAGCAGGGAGTTTATATATACTGACTAGAAGATCTTCCAGGTCCCTTCCAATTCACTTATTCTGTTAATTTTGCTGGGAGTTATTTAACCTGTATCCTAATGTAACCAACATTCTTTTTGTATCTTATGACTTCAATCTACACATGAAACTAACTTTTGCTCTACTTCCTTTGCAATCCAATTTCAGATCTTTAAAATCAGAATCATTTGTACATTCAAAGTAGTATTAACTCATAGAAAAGGAGTGGACAAGGTTTGTATTTATTAAAAGGTCTATCACACATTGGCATGAAAGATAAGAGATCCCACATTATAGTCTCAAAAAGAAAGGCAATTCTAAATGCTAGGGATTTTCTTTTTATCTTAGGATATTTTCCCATCTTTTTATTTTTCATTCCATTTCAGACTTATTTTAATAAAAAAAAATTAAATTATATATTTCCATACTGTGGAATGGAGGGAAGCTGTATGGATTTGTCAGTCTAAGGTTCACATACTATCTTTAAAAAATCCAGAAATCAAATCCCAAATTCTTTGTATTTGAATTCAATTAGCCTGTTTGCATTGGTTTGAAATTTGACCATGGTTTGCATTTTGAAGGATATATGTATGTATGTATGTATATATGTATGTGTGTGTGTGTGTTTTCTGAGGTTATGCAAGGGTTATATATATGTGTGTGTGTGTGTGTGTGTGTGTGTGTACACATACATACATAAATACATACATACATACATACATACATACATACATACTGGAATATGTGCTTCAAAAAAAAACACAAGGTGAAAATTCTTGAAATATAGTCACAGAGAAGATATTTTCTTAAAAAGCAGAAAGAGCTCACTAATTGCCTCATCAGAAAAGTTAGATATGAAGAAGGGGGAGATTAGGAGAACTACCAAGAGACCATTTCAGTTTTTTTTCAGCCTTTCTTCTCAGAATGATAAATACTCTTTCATTAAGTGATCTTAAAGATGCTTTTTCAAAACAACAACAACTGGAGTTTTCTTTGTGGGAGATGTTTTCCTCAGGAAAAAGCAATTCCATCTCTCATTTGAAAAAGCACTTTCAGGACAACCATGACCTGGATGACTGAGAATCTCCATAGACATCATTAAGTGATACTCTGGTGTATAATTTTAACACAGACAGTCTGACTGACTGACTGACACCATCCTGCTAGGGCTTGTGTTAATTCTTGGGTTGAATCAGAAACTAGGAATATGAATGTTCTTATCTGCTGGCCATAAGCATGCTGCAGAAGGATAACTAATGCCCAATTCGACAGACATTTATTATGCCATTGTTTATTTTTCAGGATAGTGACTCTGCAATTTGGCTTTAGATGTTTCCTTAGCCTGAATGTTGAGAAGAAGACCACTTCCAGGCCTTTGAGAGTTGCAGTCCTCAAGAGAGTTTCCCAGAAACTAGCTCAGCTCTTTATACAGATTAACTAATTTCAACTTTCACTGGAATTTGCTGACATGGAACCTGAATAGCGTGGAGGACATGAGAATGGTTTAGAGCAGTTAGCACAAACAAACAAAAAACACAAGCTTTATTTATATCTCTAGAATCCCAGTGTGCTTTTTCCTACTGCTGAAAATGAGCAATTATTCAGGCACATACATATATACACATACACATATACATAAATATATAGATATACCTTTAAATGCATTGGCATTTAATGCAACTCCAGTGGATTTATTATCCTTGTTATAATTATCCTTTAAAATATGTTTCTCTCTCTGTCTCTCTCTCTCTCTGTCACTCTCTGTCTCCATCTCTGTCTATATATCTCTGTGTGTGTGTGCGCACGCGTGCACACGTGCGCTAATCACACAGGCACTTCAATGTTCCCCAAATGCTTATCTTTCCCCTCCCCTTATTTATGTCTCTTTGTCTGCTCTGCACCTTGTATTGCAGGATGGCAAATGTTCCCAGAACTGCATAGACCTGGGTCTGTGTACTTAACCCCAGAAAGCCTCATCTGCCACAGCTCACCCCAGAGAGTTCCAGCAAGAATCTGTTTACCAATCTTTCCCAGTTCCCCATGCAGATTTTTCTCCTTTTGTGCCAGCGATCAGGGCCAAAGCAAAAATGCCATGCTGCCTTTGCCGCCTCCTTTAACAAAAATATAGATTAACATAGATCTTTATTTAGAATAGAATAGTATTCTTTATTGGCCAAATGTGATTGGACATATAAGAAATTTGTCTTTGGTGCATATACTCTCAGTATACATAAAGGAAAAAAATACATTCACCAAGATACAACACTTAGTGATAATCACAGGTTACTAATGAGCAATCAAATTATACTAGGAAACAAATAAAAAATATAAATTGTAAAGATACAAGCAACACAGCTATAGACATAGGTATGTTACAGGAAGGATGAGAAGAAGAATAGTAATACAGTAAATAAATTGACAGTGTTGTGGGGATTAGTTGTTTAGCACAGCGATGGCATTTGGGAAAGAACTGTTTTTGTGTCTAGTTGTTCTTGTGTGCTGTGCCCTATAGCATCATTTTGAGGGTAGGAGTTGAAACAGTTTATGTCCAGGATGTGAGGAGTCTGTAAATATTTTCACAGCCCTCTTTTTGATTCATGCAGTATAGAGGTCCTCAATGGAAAGCAGGTTGGTAGCAATTGTTTTTTCTGCAGTTCTAATTATCCATTGAAGTCTGTGTCTGTCTTGTTGGGTTGCAGAGCCAAACCAGACCATTATAGAGGTGCATATGACAGACTCAATAATTCCTCTGTGGAATTGAACCAGCAGCTCTTTTGGGCAGTTTGAGCTTTCTGAGTTGGCGCAGAAAGAACATTCTTCAATGAGCTTTTTTGATGATATTTTTGATGTTAGATGTCCATTTTAAGTCTTGAGATATGATAGAATATAAACTTGAAGGTGTTTTAATTACCCAGTAGTTTTGGAGTATAACAACGGCAAACCATTCAGGTAATTTTCAGCAGTTCTAATCAGAGGTTGTTTCTGGTTGAAATAACCAAAGGCTATATTGAGGAAAATACATAAACTGGATAAGGATGGAATGGGCATGGCCACCTTGACATCATTCATGTAGGGAACAATCTGTGGTAGCCCGAGTGCTCTGCTAGCAAAAATGGGCTCCTGAGTTTCTCCTGCAACCTTCTGCCAGCAAAAACAGAGCTCAGGAGGGTAGCCCTTTCCAGCTCCATTTTTGATATTAGGGGCATCATGGGTCAGTGCTTCACTCTTTCAGGGCAACCCCCACAAGCCAGATCTAAGCACCCCATAGGCTGGATCTGACCCGTGAGCCTTGACTTGGACACCCCTGCTTTAGAATGTCTTATTCTAGCTCCAATGGTTATTCATATAATGTCAGACTGAGTTCACAGGGCTTTACGTAGTAACGAAAGGGATGGATATAATGACGATGATATAATAAAAAGACCAATTATATTTTAAGAATGAGATTTATTTAAAAAAAGGGAGACATGCATGAAAAGTGATTCTTGAACTTAAATTGACATTCTGCTATATAGTACCCTGTATAAGGGCTCAAGGATCCCTTTTATAGTTCCTTATCGGGTAAAACAGAATACATTTGTTATCATATCAGCATGATTCCATCTCCATGAATGTAGCTAAATTTTGTTCTACTGCATTTAAAATTAGGCAGAATTTTATTAGTCACCACCATTGGTAGGCTGATGCAGGTTCAGACAGGTTCTAAAGTGTTTCTCATATAATAAGGCCAGATCTTTTTTTTTTTTTTTTTGAGTCCCGAAAAAATGGCTAGGCCGTCTTTTCGGGGGTGACTTAATTCCCCCCTCTTGCATCTTTGGGTGGGCAGGCAGTGATGGCTTGGAGGTTGACCTCGGCATTGGTGGGGCACTTCATATTGGGGTCAATGCAGGCAGCATCATATCCGGGTGTGCAACAAAAGTACTTTCTAATGGCAAGCCCCCCCCACCATTCCCTCCCATTTCACATATGTTAATATAGGCCTTAATTTGGGGGAGGGGCTTAATTTAATTCCATGCCTATAAAACATGCTGGGACTTCCTATTGGGGGAGGCCCTATTTTTGGAAAAATACGGTAGCAAACTGATAGTTCTGTCCATCAGCTGTCCCCCACCAATCCTGTCCTATACTTCCTTCTTTCTGGCTCAGCTGAGTCACGCGGCACAGCTGATTTCCACACTTCAGCTGTTCTACTTACTGGGGCTGCCCTAGAAGGAAAGCAGCTAAACTTCAAATTGCTATATTGGTCCCTGGTCACCACCAATTGTAATACACACACGCTTACATGCATACCACACAAAGAACACACAAATTTTTCTTAATTGCTTTTTCTTAACTGCCGCTTGCAGTTTAATTGAGGTCTCAACAGAATAATTTAACATTTGGGGGAAAAGATACAAGACAGCAATCCACCTCTGGATGCTAGGATGGAGAAGATCTCCACAGCCACCATATACTTCCTCTTTGTGCTCGGGTAGATAGGGACAAAAGTCAACCAAACACTACAAAACATCAGCATGCTGAAAGTGATAAACTTGGTTTCATTTAAAGCATCTGGCAATTTTCTGGCAAGAAAAGCCACCATAAAACTAATGATGGCTAGAAATCCTAAGTAGCCCAGGACATGATAGAACATGATAGAAGATCCCACATTACATTCTGCTATGATTTCACTAGTGAGAGAATGCATATCCAAATTTGGGAAGGGAGGAGAAGTTGCCATCCACGAAGAACAAACACTTACTTGAACAAGGGTGCAGGAAATAACAATGGAACTGGCCAATTTTCTCCCCAAACATTTCCTCATGTTGGACCCTGGTTTGGTGGCCATGAAAGCTACAACTACAGTGATGGTTTTAGCTAATACACAGGAAACGGCCACCACAAAACAATGCCAAAAGCAGTTTGGCAAAGAAAGCAAGTGGTCTTGTTAGGCTGTCCAAAAAACAGTAAAGATGAAAGAAAGCAAAGGAGAAGGGACAGAAGGTTGTTGGCTTTGATTCCTGGTTGTTGGCTTTGACGATTGGAGTGTCTTGGTTCTTAACAAAAGTTTTAAGGACAAAGGCTGTAGTTATAAATAGGCTAATCCCAACCAAGGCTAAACTCATCCCTAATGGCTCTTTATGAGACAGAAAGTTTAAAGTCTGGAAAACACATCGATCTTGCTTCTTTCTTGCATATTGATCTTCTGGACATGGGGAAAAAATCAACCATGTCTGGACATTGAAAAAAAGAAATTAAAACATTGACCATGTGTGGCCCAAGAGACATTTCCATATTCTGTTCAACCTAATCCCTCCCCATTCAATATTGTTGTGTTATCCTATGTCTTAATGTTGTATTTAGCAAGTATAGGATTAACTCTTATTTGTAGCCTTTAGAGTTTATAGAATATATTCTTTCTTTGAAAAGTACATTTTGAGGGGGCATTGTTGCTTTCTGAGCTAGGTTGTTTTCTTGTAGACATTTCATTACCCAAACTGGAATGTTACCAACTGAAAATAAGATTTGTCCAAAGGAGTGAAAATGGCTAAGGGGTGAGTGTATGTTTTGCAGGGGTGGGATTCTACCAGTTAGGACTGGTTTGGGTGAACCAGTCCTAATTCTGAAGATCAGCTGTTTACTGCAACATGCATGTGAGCCCACCCATCTGCCCCTGCTCTTTCCTGTGCTTTATTTCCTTTTTTAGATCACAGCTGATTCATGTGGCAGAGTGGTTTGCAACAGCTCAACTGTTTTATTCACAAGGGCTGCAATAGAAGGCAAGTATGAGAGCTTTTTTAAATGTGGAACATGCGCGTAATCACTGAACAGGTTGTTATACTGATGAAATCCCACCTTTGATGCTTTGGTCCACTTTTTCCCTTGGAAATGAGTGTTGGTCAGGTCAGAAGAAATATAAAAGGAAGCAGCATTTGGTGGGAATGAGTTAGTTACAATAAGAAGGATGTGTGGTGATCATCAAAGGAAATATTGAATTAATCTGGACTGGATACAAAAGTGAGTGGGCCATAGTGGGCCATGTACTTTGGCATGATTTGATTATAGAGAGAGGTTCAAATCACAGAATCAATACAGGAAGGAAGTGTGAAGAAAGGGAAGACTAGTGGGATTGCTGGCATAATCTTCTCAAGAAGATAAGATAGTGAATGAATAGTGTATGGATCTGGTGGATGCAAAGATGCTTTGCCAAGGAGGTTGGAGGTTTCATAAATGGTATCAATATAAAGCTGATTTAGTTAAATCTCTTTTCCTATTCTAGGTTTAAGTTTGCTTGTGACCTATTCTTTCTTTGTTTCTTTTAATAAAGGTTTTGAACTAAAGGGAGAGTAGCATGATGTAAATATATTTACTCTATGCAACTGACATTAGTTTGAAAGAATCTCATAAGATCTTATTAGTAATCAAAATGCTTATCATTAAGTCACATACATATGAATAAATATGCAATATTAATACATAATACACAAAAAGCAGTTAAATTTCTATGGAGATTCTCAGCCTTTCAGTTTATCATTGTCCCAAAGGTGCTTTTTTCAAGAGGCAACTGGACTTTCTTGTTTTTCTTTTAAAATGTTTCACTGAACTGAAGAAGCTTCTTGGATAAGAAGCAACATGTCTTCAAAGATAAATAAGAAAGTTCAGACACTTCCAGCTTGTCTGCTTCGGTGACAGCAGGGATTCACTTTCTCTGCGATCCCTGCTGTGCTAGCCGCCTAGGTGGCTCCGATCCTGATGGATTTGGAGGCTAAGGCTGCTCTGTTGGGGCAGCTGAAGAAAAGGGGATCTGGACAGGGGTTGAGGGGTATTGCAACCCCCCCCCCCAAGCCGGCAATAACCCCCTTCTCTCAAGACAGTGGAGCGGTGGTCTTTAATGGCCGCCATAAAGAAGCTGGCAACTGGATAAAAATGTGCAGGAGGAAGGAGTTTTAAAACGAAAGTTTTTTCTTGGTCGAACTGGGACCTTAAGGACATATTTAACACCTGGGAAAGTATTGGCTTGGAAGCTATAATGTTCCCGATTGATGTTTCAGCTGCAAAGAAAAGTGACAAAAAGGGGAAGTTACTCTCCCTCCCTTATGGAATTAACAAATGGACAAGGGAAACCAGCCTT